GGTCCTACCCTTTCTTCGCTCATTAGTGAAGGTGACCAGAGCCGTGGCTCTATGTATCTAACCTATGGTCGTGACTGTTGCCACAGTTCACCAGTCCTATTGCCCTGTACATCAATTTTGGTATCTCGTCCAAGAAATGACTCAACGATTATGTCCACAACAATGCTCGATGGCAACAACTTCAAAATACAAGCTCGAGGATGAGCTTCTTCAAGGAATGAAGATGTCGGGAATCATCCAGCCCACCAGACAGATGTTGGGTGTGTGTGCTCCGCTGGCATGAGCCCGGCTGATCGCTCCAGCCCCCGCTCTTTCTCTCCTCTTCCCTTTCTTTTCCTGTTTATAGTTTAGAGTAAGTAAATAATTAATAATCAGTCTCTTCTTTTCCATATATCGTCACCGCTGCACACTCAGGGGGATCTGATCAATCCCTACCTGACACGCAGGCAACTGCGCAACTTTCAGAAATCATGAATTTAAGCGGAAAATTTGAAGGAAACATGCAAAAATGCCTTTTCTAATAAAGTCGTTTTTACGTAGATATGAGAATGAGTCTGCTTTTAGTTTCATTCTCAATGCTTGACTTTATCGTTTGAAACCACTACTATGTATCTCACGTGACCACTCTCCTCATTCCATAATCCTCTTCAAACTTCTCCGCGTTTCCCCCGTTTTCCGCCCTTTGTTGGTACAGAGAAGAATATGCGCAATTAACGCGCCGAAAGTTCAGAATTCAAATGATCCTTCTAGGATTCAAAATTGGTCTACACGTTGAATCATGTGAATGCTTTTCACAAGTTCACTTTTATGTGAAAACAACGAATCTAGCTCAATTTGTTGGGAATATAAGCACGAGAAGAAAGAGGAACGAAGAAAATGGAATGTCATCTTGCTGATTTTATTGATTGCTGTTTGAAAAAATGCATTGTTCCTGTTGCGTTGTTTTGAACCATAAAAATGTGGTTAATCCCTCTTATCAGCTAGCATAGTAAATTAAAAACCACCTTCACTTTTTGCAAGGCTCCTGAGTTAAAATCACTATCACTTTTGTTGTCTTGTCTCTGA